CCATTTATGGATTAGAGTCTTCGGTCTCCCGGTACATTTGTGGAATAACGAAATTGGACAGAAGATCAGAGATCTGTGTGGGGGTTTTATGGTAGTGGTTGACTCAAAGGTTTTCAGGGAATCTTTTGAATGTATGAGAATAAAGGTTCGATGGATGGGGCTGCCTCCACAAACAATTAACATAGTGGTTGGTGAGACGATGTATGTAGTTACGATCTGGCCTGAAATCAAAGCTGAAAAAATGATAGCCCAGAACGGATTACAAAGGTGCAGTCTCAATAGGCATGGACTTCATCTCTCAGATTCAGTATTTTAAAAGGCGTGGGTGGTGTACACCTGGAGGCGCACCTCCAGTCGAGGCGCTCCCAAAACGCCCTGAGGCGTATGCCAGAGGTGCTGACACCTCTGAGGCATACGCCTCTTGCGCTTTTTTCATGAGGCATGCTAGAGGTGTATGCCTCGTGCACATCTGATATAAAAAGACAAAAAAAAAAGAAAAAAGAAAAAAAAGGAAGGAAAGGAAAAGAAAGGGAAGGGAAAGAAAAAGAAAGAGAAGAAAAAAAGAGAAAAGGAAAGAGAAGGGAAGGGAAGAAAAGATAAGGGGAAAGAAAGTGGTTTGCCCCCTGCCCCTTCGGCTGGGGGGCGAACTCCCCGCCCCCTTTCAACTAATGTTATGCATCTTTATTCTTCTTAATATAAAAGATTTTTATTAAAAATAAAGAAAAAATGAGATCCCCCCTTCCTCTTCATCCTCCTCCTAACCCCCCTCCTCTTAAGGAGGCTTATGCCTCTTGTGTTCTGAACTATGCCTCACGCCTCTAGGTAGTGGAACGTCTCGCGTCACGCCTCCGCGTTTTAAAACATTGCTCAGATTTTAACAGGGAAATCAGCTGAGGAAGAAGTACGGTCAGTCATTGAACGCTCGGAGAAGGAAGACATGGAGACTATTCTAGTCTGCACTACTGGTAACCAGCAAATCTCAGAACTCGCCAGAGGTTAGGAGGAAGACGAAATCCTAGCCGTAGACCATCAAACAGATCCTATGGTCAGGATTTTCGCGTGCCTGACAAAGAAAAAAGGACAATTCCGGGCCGATTTCAAATTTCAAATCCCTTTAATTTGAAATCTGCCGACATGGCCTTAGTAGATAAGCTGGCAGATGCAGTTGCGGACCGGCTAAAAAACTACACAGGAGTGGGGCTTTGAAACCCGCGATTTCAGGAGTAAGGACAAGCCCGCCCCTTCTTTTAACCCTGGCCCAAAGGAAAAGGGTTAACCCAAAATGATGATTCGGCTCCGTCCTCCTCAGAGTCTGAAGGTACTGTTTTTGATGGAGAAGGCTCAAGCTATCAGGAGAAATGGAACGCAGCTTATCAATGCGACAGTGAGAGAATCTGCAATACAATGTCTGAGAACACCCTCTCAGGTTCGGGCGATGCTGGTGAAGAAGTAGGTTCCACTAGAAAAGGCAAGGGAAAGCTCAATTATTCTGAAAGATCCTGTTCAAGCCAAGTCTTTCTTAGATGCAGTCAGAGGTTAAGAAGAGAAGGAAAAGGGCATGATGTTGAGTCTGGAAGAACAAAATAGATTGGCGATTGTAGCTACAACCGTGGTAGACTTTGGAGAAAAAGAAGCCTTTCCACCATTAGTTCAACCACAAATGCAGCACGATCCAGAACCTCTCGCAGTGCTCCTACCAGCTGAGGATTGCTCTCAGATCCAACCTCAACCAGTAAACCTAAGGTACGCAGAAGAAAATGAAATTTCAAATTGGGTTCTTTCTAAGTTTCTGAGTTTTGGGGATTTTCTGGGGGTTTCTTTCAAAGGACTAGAAGAGGAAATGAAAGCGCTGCTGGTTGCTATTGAAAACAGATTTTTGTTGGAAAAAGGAAAAAAGAACAGGAGGCAGTCAAAAGAATTGTTGAGACTAGCCTGGGGCTTAAATGAATCTGCAGGAAGTGCGAGACATAATAGGAAATTATAAAAATTATCAAATGGAGAGAATTAAAATCCTATCTTGGAATGTTAGAGGCTTGTGCTCAGGCAGACGAAGGATGGTTATTGGGGGTTTTATAAAAGACAGAAAGCATGATATCCTACTTTTGCAGGAAACTAAGTTACAGAAATTGACTTTCAGAGAGGTGAGGAGTGTTTGGGGTTTTGACCCAGTTGATTGGGTTGAACTTCCAGCGGTGAATACTACTGGTGGAGTAGTCTTAATGTGGAATAATAGTGCCTTTAAACTCTCGGACAAGAGGATTGGTTTGTTTTCCATCTCAGTCAAACTTCTGTGGGAAGTAAAGAACTTTCAGTTATTGGTAACAGGGGTGCATGGGCCGGTGGATTCTAGACTGAAAGAAGCTTTCTGGGAAGAACTGAACTCAATTAGAAGAGAGTGGGGAGACCCTTGGGTGATAGGGGGGGATTTCAATGCCATAGTCGACCCAGAAGACAAGAAAGGTTGTAAAAGGAGAAATAAAGGCATGAGACATTTTAAGGATTTTATTCAAATTGGGAGCTAATTAGTTTGCCCCTCTCTGGAGCTAGGTACACCTGAATCAATAATCAAGAAAGGCCTTCATTAGTAAGGCTAGACAGATTCTTGATCTCTACGGAATGGGAAGATGCCTTCCCCAATTCAAAACAGGAAGCCCTTCCAAGGTTTGTCTTTGACCATATTCCACTTCTACTAGACACAGGTGGTTTGAGGAAAGTTTCACCCCCCTTTAGACTTGAACATTGCTGGCTGGACTCAGAGGAGCTGGTTTCAAATATTCAGCAGTGATGGGCTGAAAGATCTTTTGAAGGCACAGCTAGCCATGTGTTTTTCAAAAAACTACAGTGGCTGAAAACTAAACTAAAACAGTGGCAGAAAGAAAAGTCATGGAAAGATGAGGAGAAAAAGGACTTTTGTTTGAAATTAATTGCTGATTTGGACGCAGAGGAGGAAACCGGACCTTTGAATGAGGACAAGAGAAGGAGAATGGCAGGGGCAAAGAAGGATTATGAATCCTTAGCTTACCAAAACGAAATTAAATGGAGTCAAAGGTCAAGGGCTATGTGGCTAAAAGCAGGAGACAGCAATTCAGCTTTCTTTCATAAGCTAGCTAATGCTAGAAGAAGGCTAAATTCCATAAATCAACTGGAGGTGGGAGATAAGACTGTCTCAAGAAAAAGATATTGCTGAAGCTTGTGAATCCTTCTTCAAAAATCTTTTCAGTAAACCTTGCAACCGAAGACCTAAGCTGAATGGTATACAGTTTGACATTCTCAGCAGGCCATGGATTTAGAAAAACCTTTTTTGGAAAGAGAAGTTAAGGAGGCTATTGACAGTTTGGAAGGGGAAAAGGCCCCTGGACCAGATGGATTTACTATCCTTTTCTACAAGAAATTCTGGGAACTAATCAAAACAGAATTGTTGAAAGTATTGGAGGAGTTTCATGAATTGGCTGCTTTAGAGAGCAGTCCGAATGCTACTTTCCTATCTCTAATCCCTAAGATAAGTGGAGCTAAAGAGATGAAGGACTTTAGGCCATTAAGCTTGATTGGTAGTGTATACAAAATCTTAGCCAAAGTTCTGGCAACTAGGCTAACAGCTGTGATGGACTCTCTGATTTCACCACACCAAAGTGCTTTTGTACATAATAAACAAATACATGATGAAGTTCTTATTGCAAATGAACTAATCGATTCCAGGTTAAGAAATGGGAGGAATGGTCTGATTTGAAAAATTGACTTAGAAAAAGCCTACGATCATGTTAACTGGGCATTCTTGGACTATTTGTTGGAAAGGATGCATTTTGGTTCAAAATGGAAGTCTGCATCTCCACTCCAAGGTTTTCAATATTATTAAATGGATCAGTAAAAGGAAACTTCAAAAGTTTGACTTATACAATGTGGCCTCAGACGAAAGAAGCCTTAGCAGCAGATTATTCAGGCTTCAGGAGAATAGCATGTGTTGGACTCCTTCCTTTAGAAGGAGCTTCAGTGGCTGGGAAATTCAGCAGGTTGCTGATCTTCTCTCTCTGTTACAAAGCCAGCATCTAAATCTCCACTACCAAGATGCAAAATTCTGGAAAGGGACCAAAACTGGAGTCTTCACAGTTAAATCATTCTATTATAAGCTAGTGGGGAGGAGTGAAGCTCCTTTTCCTAGTCAGGCCATTTGGGGGAATCTAGCTCCTTCAAAAATTAAGTTCTTTGTTTGGGTTGCAGCTTTGGGGAGATGCTTGTCTAATGAAATGTTGATAAAAAAAGGAATGTACATTCCAGATCTCAGGTGTTGTTTATGCAATGAGGAGGTGGAGTTTGTTGGACATAGTTTCCTTTACTCTAAGTTTAGTGCTGCAGTATGGAGCCACTTCTTGAAATCTCTGAATTTGAATTGGTGCATACCAGCATCGGTTAAAGCTCTTTTGGAAGAATGGCAGATTTCTGGACTTTCCAAAAAAGGAAGACTTTGCTGGGCCTCTGTTCTTCCAGCAGTACTCTGGGCTGTATGGTCAGAAAGAAACAGAGATTGTTTGATCAGAAAGCCACTTCTGAAGCCGAGGTCATCAATTCAGCCATAGATGCCATTAGGAGCTGGATGTCAATACATACTGGATTCAAAGATGCCATTAGGTCCTTTTTTGTACAGTTTCTCATTGTACACAGGACCAGTTATTAATATAATCATACTTTACCTTCTTTCAAGAAAAAATACGACAAGTTCATGCTTACTTTGTGAATGTTGGAACCAAAGCAAGTGAAAGGCAAAAAAGAAACATATCAACAAAACATTTTATCAAAATAAAAAGACAGTACTCATTATTGAATATGTTCATGACTTCATGTTCACAACTGCATCATTAGGGCTAAGCATCGTTGTATAGCACAAACAAAATAGATAAAAATAAGAATGTTATCCAACTTTTTATTATGACCAACAATAGTTATCATTCTTTAGCCTAAGTGAACATCTATCTGGAATTAATGGTGAAGTTTTCCTTTTAACTCACATGCTTCCCCACTGGTATTGACTTGAACCAAAACCTTGAGAGGCTTTCTTCCAATGCTTGCTACCACACGATCAAGATGATTAGCAATCTACAGAACAAAGAGGAGTAACGTCTGGTAGTGAGTGATGAACCTGATGGTGAATGAATGGAGAAAATTCCCATACATAATACAAGGTCATTCTATCACTCTTTCTGTGGTAAGGTGATTTAACTTGCAAATCAGCACCTATTGGGTTGAGGATGGTGTTGCTAGCTCACTGAAAATTTGAAATACCTTTGTTTTAATAAATGATAAAGTATTGCATCAATATATTTCAGAAAAAGAAGGGAAAAATGCTCAAACATCAACTTCTTTACCCGGCTAATGAGAATAAACCATGCATATCCATATAAAGGTATAAAGCTACAAGGTGGTATATTTGTTATACATCAAAAGAAAAATTGAAGAAAATGACTTTTCCCACTGGCACTTTCAAACCTTAAAGTTCTGTCAAGATTGTGGGGCATGAAACCAGATTTCTCTAAATTCTTCTAATAATAGCTTTGATGGAAGTTCTTTTAAAAACTTTCCCATTTTTTCCAAGAGAAAATGGGATGGCCATTTTATCAAAAAAAAAAAATCAAAAGAATATTTGACCCTTTAAAATCATCATAGCTTTTTAGTACTCTTATCTTGTTTCAATAGCAGAGTACCTTTATATTCTAAATTATAATTAATGTCTTCTCAAAGGCCCCTTACCAATTGACAGACCATAAATTTCAATCATCCATCCCTTCCAGATTAAGCAATTATGGAATATAGTTACCTAATTTCCTTGTCCATAAAAGGGGAAATATTCTAAATGTTCTTCAGACCCAAGCAGTGACATGGTACTTCTGGAAGAATCCTCTAATGCTGACTTTCTGAGAAGCCCAACATACTATAGCTTTTATAGAAATATAAATATACTAGATACTGAAATAGGTATTTACCTTCTCATCATCCACACTCTCAACCATGGTAAGATTTGGAACACCGGCTGCATAATAATAACAATAAAAATTATAGTAAGTGAAGCCTTCATATTCGTCATAATCCTCACTCAATTACAAGGACGATATGAGGCAAAACAAGATAGACAGAACAGGCTCCATAAAATAGTTATCCCAAAACAAGGGAAACATAAATAAATGATTTATGAATCACTCTGATGCAACTCGGGCATTTCTGATTCATAACACATATGAGAAACATATAGCCAAATAATTTTAAGGAAAAAATGGTGCAGAGGTAAAAGGATAGCCAAGAAAGCATCTCAGAGTAAGAATGTTGAATTCTGATATGCATTCATGTAACCATTATCATGCCCCTCCCTGCAAAATGTGTGTGTATATGAGCCAATTCATTTTTACTCTTCTCAGAATATGAATGAATATGATGTCCAATGTCATCAATAAAATAGGCTAAAAGGTTGATTGACACTTTTTTTTTTATAGGAAATGGTAACTTTCATTAGAGAATTGAAAATATTACAGGCTTACCACCCACAAAATGGATGGAAAAAGAAAATCAAAAACTTACAAACAGGCCCAAAACAAAGCCTCCCTAGTAACTCCTTGCTTAGCTAAAGTGTCAGTCATTCCAAGGTTCTAAATATCGACATGGGCCGATACACCCTACCAACGTATCGGCCTGTGTCGGTACATTTTCTTTTAGTGTTTTTTTTTGAAACTGGTTCAGAGGGGTCGGTTTAAGGCCTGGCTACCCTCTGAACAGGTGGCTGACCCGATACAACCCCTGAAGGGGCGTATCGGTAAGCCATCGGCATGATACATATCGGCCGATACGTATCAATACTTTGAACCTTAAGCCATTCCATTTGCTGACCTTCTTACCAATTTAAAATGCACCCCAATCTCCCTTGCTAACCTAATAATCTCTATTAGAGGTTGTCTAAGAGACCACACTCCCAGGTTTCCAGCTTGCATCCACCCTATTACCAGATTGGAGTCTCCTTCCACTTCTAATTGCTGCATTCCCCATTGTTTCACCAGTTTCAAACCTTGAAGTAAGGCCATCACTTCTGCCCTTAATGAATCTCCCACCCCAATTAGGCCCAAGTAAAGGACCAAGACTTTTCCTTCCTCATTTCTGTACACACCCCCAACTCCCGACTGACCTGGATTACCCAAGGAGCTTTCATCAAAGTTTAGCTTCACCCTGAACTGAGGCAGTAGTACCCAACATTCTTGTACCACAGGGGAGGAAGGCGAGGATACAGCTATAGCACTCCAATTTCTAATTAAGTCAGTTGAGGAGAAGTCCTTGAAGAGATGATGTATGTTCAGCCAGTGCATAACCTTGATGGTGACAACCTCCACAAGTGCTTCCTTGGATTTTTCTTGCCTTAGGAAGATCCTATTGTTTCTCTTCCAAGGTTCTAAATATCGACACAGGCCGATATGCCCTACCAGCGTATTGGCCTGTATCGGTACATTTTTTTAGTTTTATTTATTTTTTTCGAAACCGGTTCAAAGGGGTCGATTTAAGGCCTGGCTACCCTCTGAACCAGTGGCTGACCCGATACAACACTTAGGATGGCTGTTCTTGTTATTCTCCACATTACCCTGTCCCTTTTTTCCTTGGTTGTCAAAAAGGTTCAGCACACCCGGGGGGGGGGGTTCCATCTGTAACCAAACAAAGAAGAGAACCAATCCCACAAATAATAAGCAAAAGGACAAGAAATCAAAAGATAAGTCGCTGCCTCACCATTTCTTAAGTAAAGGTAATAGACATGTGGGGAAAGGCTCCAGTCTGGCCTTTTTTCTTTGAAGTAAGGTGTTGAAAAAAGATAGACACAAAAGAAGACTGAACTAAGGCGTCGAAAAAAGATGAACAAGAGAAAGTCCCTGAAGAGGACTCTTTCCAAATTCTACTATCTGGGTAGGAAAGATCTAGGAAAAATGAATTCAACACAGTGAATAACTCATCTGCAGGAGCCAAGTCTGAATCCCTCAACCCTCTTCTCAAACCCAAATCCCAAGTCCCCTCAAACACACGAAATGAGGAGATGATTTTGAATTTATTTAGGGAAAGAGAATACATTACTGGGAATATATCCTTAAGGGGGGGTGTTCCCAAGCCAAAGGTCCTCCCAAAACAGAATTTTATTACCTGAGCACACATCAAATCTGATGAAAGGCTGAAAGGAAGGCAAGACTCCAGCAATTGCTTTCCAAGGGGAGAAATGAGAAGCCCTAAGGTCGACGCCAGCATCCCATCCATTAGCTGCCATCCCGTGAATACTTTTCACCACCAAGTGCCACAAACTGTCCTGCTCCAAAGGAAATCTCCACAACCACTTTACTAACAAAGTTACATTTCTTAATCTGATATTGCCAATGCCTAGACCCCCCGCTTCCTTTTTCCTAAAAACTACTTCCCACTTCACTAAATGGTCCATTTTAGAGTCACCCGGTTCCCACAGGAAATCTCTCATGAGCTTTTCTAACTTATTGGCAACCTTGGCAGGAAGCTTAAAGGTAGGCAGAAAATACACCGGAAGGTTGATTGACACATTCAAAGGCAGGATAGCAAGTGAGCGGTTTTATAAGATCAGAGATTTTGGTGTTCCTATGTAGTGTCAGTGTAGGTTGTTAAGCATGCCAAATGCCATTGGATGGAAACTTTTCTTTTTGGGATTTGGTTATCAATATGTGAGAGAAAAGATTTGCAACCTGGAAAGTAAACAACATTTCTAAAGGAGGGTTTTTACATTGGTTACAGCTGCACCAGCCAATCTCCTAGTGCATTTCCTTTCAGAGTTCCAGTTTCTAGCAGAGGTGAAGGAGCTCACAAAGCAAATTCAGAGAAACTTTCTCTTTGAGAGGGAGGGGAGAAACCTAACAATCTATTCAACTGAAAGAAGTTGGAAAACCAAAGAAGGGGTTTTGGGCCTCAACCATGTGTTTGAAATAGTGCAGTTTTAACATGTAAATCTCCAAGTGAGCAGTCAAGCATATGCATAACCAGTATCTGAAGTAAATATTGGACAGCTGACTCGGATAGATGGGTGGGACATAAACCTTAACTTGCATCAATTTCCTCTGCTTAGCCCTTGGAAGGCATTCTCAAAACTTACATTTGTTCAGATTATTTGATTTGGTTTGAATAATGGTTAAAAAAATTAGATTTTGGGTTAATCACTGGAGAGCTAACCTTTATTATCTTCCATCCCTTTGTATTTTCCAGTTATCTACTCTACCAGGAAAGGGGGGACCGTAGCTGGTGTCCACTTTCTCAAGAACCACTGAGATTGAAGAAGTGCATTGCTTCCCTGGTATCCTTAAGGAGGTTTAACTTACCCATTCAAAGCTGATTCTAAAATTTGAACATCACACTCATATGGTAGCTTTACAATTAAGTCTTCCTTTGCTTCACTAGTATCTAATCCCAATATTCAAGATTTTCATACTCCAACTCTCCAAGGCTTTAGCTCGCTTTTGTTCCACTAAGAGTGCACTTTCATCTGGGAGGACACTAGAAGGAAAATCGATACCTGTGATTGATTGTGTAAGAGTAAGAATATACCATCAGCATTTCCCATCTCCCTATAAGGCTATAAGTTAGGATATGTGCCCCAGAGCCATGAGACATCTCCACATCTCTTAGTTCACAGCTGAGAAACCAGTATGATTTGGCAGTTGGCACTTCTTCCTTGATCTGATAGAGTTGGAAGTGTTAACTCCAGGAAGCATCAAAGACCTCTATCAGTAGAGATCAATTGCAGTGGGTTCTAGGGTGAAACTTTATTGGCCATTACACATGGAATCTTACCCTTGGGGAGTAGAAAGGTTGGGAGGAGAGAAACAACTGGATTTTTGGATTCAAGATGGCATCTTTTTAAGTGCTTTCGAAGCTGATTCCTATATATAGACCACTCTGGATCCTCATTTTCAAGGAAGTTATCAATATTATGCAAAGAAACTTGGTGTAGGTTCTCCACTCCTCTCCAAAGGCAATCCATTAATCTGATCCTCCAATATCAGTCCCACTTAAGGTTCAAAGTATCGATACGTATCAGCCTGTATCGGCTGATATGTATTGCGCCGATGGCTTACCGATACGCTCCTCCAGGGGTTGTATCGGGTCAGCCACCAGTTCAGAGGGCAGCCAGGCCTTAAACTGACCCCTCTGAACCGGTTTCAAAAAAAATAAATAAAACTAAAAAAATTGTACCAACACAAGCCAATACGCCCTTTAGAACCTTGGTCCCACTAGGATCAGATTACTCATTACTCTCTATTTTGACAGCTGTTCTTTAGGTAATACCGTCTGAAGCAGAAGTCATGGCCTCGCTAACCAGGTCAAGGATAGCTAAAATGATGCAGCCATCATTACCTCTAGTCTATCAGACTCGTGGGGATTAACATATTACCTCAACAAGATCAGACACAACCTGAACCCTTTCCAATCTACACTGAGGCGGTTTCTGAGAGAGGAAAAGTTAGTATTAGTTGACGACCTTTTATTTATAGTGATAGCTTACTCCTCAATGTTTTACATCCTCCCATATACACCTTTTATTCTCACTCAATTAAATGATATATATATATATATATATAAAATAATTCAACATCCACTACGATGAGATTGCAACGTATCCAACAGCTTATAAGAAAGACACATGAAATTTGCAAAACATGGTATTTGAATCAATCTGCCACTTGAAGGATCGGATTTTGCAGCTAGCACAGCGGGATTACAACACAAGACAAGGCGCTTGGCGATCATTCACACAAAGAAATCAAATAAACCCATCAATTAAGAAAAAGAAGGAAAAAAAAAAGATAATTTGAAACATACCAAGAAGCGATTTTACTTTGTTGCTCTGCATGTGTCCAATAAAATGCCATTCGATATCGTCTGGAAGCTGCACCAAGTCGAACAGTTACCAAGTTCAACGATTTCCTTCAGCGTGTTGTTAAATGAATGAATGAATAAATAAATAAATCATCAATTAATTAATAACCGGTTCGTTTTAGGGGTAAAGTCACCACTCAGATAGTAACCATTTAATTTCAAGGTTTTTTTTTTGAAGGCCATTTAATTTCAAGGTTAAATTGCTTGAACAGCAACCTTTGCAAATAAACTCGAAGGTCCTGCTAAGGAGAGATGAAATGTAGAGGAAGAAGACCTGGGGTGCTTTTTCGATGATCTCTTGAACGTAATTTTCACCGAAGCAGCGGTGACCAGCGTCGTAGACCTGGCGAATGAGAGACACCGGCTTGGTCTTGCTGACGGCAATCACTCTAACCTGATCGGACCTACGGCCAGACCTCTCGGCAGCCTGTTGGACTCGGAACATAACCGAACGTAGAGCAGTCACTGCCGCACCCTCCATGGCTGGAGCGGCCATCTGCTGCCTCTCTTCTTCACTCTCTCCTTGATGGCTCATCTCAGGAGCCACTTGTAAATAATACTGTCTGTGAGGAGCGGTGACCGGAAATTTTATGTGGCGAGCCCCTTTCGCTTATTTTCCCCTTCTTATATTTTTCATGGACAGGAAATGCACACGGCGGTGGGACCCAGAAGGCCTCAATCAGTCCATGATGGATTGATGGGCCTGCTCCATGCTAGATATTCTTTTGTTGCACATGTAAAGCGAAGCTCCGTAGCGATTCTTCGCTTTTGAAAGAAAGAACGACTACCCGCCTCTTATCATCAGACAAAACGAGAGTGAACGAGTAAGCTCTCTGCACTCTGCAACAACAGCAGTCAGCAGGTAGAGCTCTGAAGCTTTCAAAATGGCTACTACAGTTGCGCTGCCCACCCTGCTATCTCTTCCTTTTAGCAGCCATTCTTTTTCTTATCAATCACATAAAAGAGGACGAGCAACTATCGCTTACCGCAGCAGATGGAGATGTTCTGCAGCAGAGCAACCGCGGCCGATGAAATCCGGACGAGCTTCGAAGAAGAAAAATACCACCGGTGAAGATAAAGGGGTGGACCCAGTTGGCTTCCTCACCAAGTTTGGCATTTCTAATAAAGCATTCGCCCAATTCCTGCGTGAGAGGCACTGTCGACAGCATATCAACTTGTCTTTTCCTTTGGTGTCTCAAGGTTGCGTTTTTATTAATCAATTAACTAACTTTTTCAGGCATAAATCGATGAAGGACCTTAAAGTTCAGTTGTCAACTCGTTACGCTAGTCTCATGGAGATGGCATCTGGGTGGGTTTTGTCCCCCTTCCATCGTTTTCAGCATCTTTTTTCAGTTTCTGGGTTTCTATCTCGTATTCTTGTTCTTTTGGCTTTTATGCTGAATAGTTGCAATTTCGAGAAAAATCTCCCGAACGGATGGTGTTGGATATGGCCGGAAAATCAGTTTCTATGTATTTTCTAAAATTCTCAATAAATTGTTCTTGTTACGTAATTGTTTGATTTTGAAAACGGTTTCGAATTGATTTCTCCAGATACGAGATATTGGGTTTGCATCGCAATGTACAACATCGGGTGGATTTCATGGAGTGGGCTCCAGGTATTGCCTATTTCTTAAAAATATATGTCCAGACTCGCAGTGTCCCGCAATGCCAATTGAGTGTATAGCCATTTTGTTGAATTTTGTTTATCTAGCGTTGCTTGAACTGTCTTTACATATGCTTGGTAGTACTTCATGGGCCTGTAACATGTTTGCACAGGTGCTCGTTACTGTGCATTGGTTGGTGATTTTAATGGGTGGTCACCAACGGAAAACAGTGCAAGAGAGGGTCACCTTGGCCGTGATGATTATGGTTATTGGTTGATCATTGTTGAAGATAAGCTCAGGGAGGGAGAGAAACCGGATGAATTCTTCTTTCAGCAGTACAACTATGTGGATGACTATGATAAAGGTGACAGTGGTGTTACCATTGAAGAACTATTCAACAAAATGGATGACGAATATTGGGAACCCGGAGAGGACCGGTTTGTTAAATCACGTTTTGAAGTAGCTGCAAAGTTATATGAGCAGATATTTGGACCTAACGGGCCCCAAACTGAAGAGGAACTGGAGGAAATACCAGATGCTGAAACAAGATATAAGGAGTGGAAAGAAAAACATAAAGATGATCCACCTTCGAACTTACCTCCTTATGATGTGATTGATAATGGAAAAGAATATGATATTTACAGCATTGTGGATGATCCTGTATGGCGAGCAAAATTTCGTGCCAAAAAGCCTCCTCTAGCTTACTGGTTAGAGATGCGAAAGGGAAGGAAAGCTTGGTTAAAGAAGTATAGTCCAGGGATACCTCATGGAAGTAGATACAGGGTTTATCTCAACACTCCAAATGGTCCTTTGGAGCGAGTTCCTGCTTGGGCGACTTATGTGCTTCCAGGTGAGCTTACTTATGACAGAGTATCTGTATTGCTTTACTCTTTTTTTCTCATCAAAGCTCTTTTTATTTTGGACTTGATTAGGTTACATGTAAAATGAAGGAAAATGAACAACTTCCATGAAGAATGTTATTTTATAGTGTTCAACTGTATGTAAAATGGCCATGGAAAGCTAACTTTTTTCAAGAAATGATTAGCAGTACCATTGCTCAAGTCTACCTCACAAGGTTGTGTTTCTTATTTGTGCAATAATTTTCTTCTGAAAATGAAACTGAAATCTTGGTTTCAGTCCAAGGTTGAATCTTCTGCACCTTGTCAGCTAATTAGATTGAGTCAGTACCTAAAGTATGTGAAACAGCTTTTATTTCATCCAGATGCTATATCTAAGTCTTTTTGGAATAATCCCCTCTAACAATTTGCGCCATTTTGTTGTTTGTTTATGGTCTCATTAGTGATTTTATTGGTAAAACATTGGAAACATATCTTCTTTTCTGCATACCTTTTGCTTGTTCTGAAGTCTTGTGATTATAAGCAGGTGTAGATGGAAAGCAATCATTTGCAGTGCATTGGGAACCACCTCCTGAAAGTGCATTCAAATGGAAAAATCCACGTCCAGAAGTGCCAAAGTCTCTTCGAATATATGAATGCCATGTTGGAATAAGTGGATCAGAACCAAAAGTCTCTTCTTTTAATGAATTTACTGAAAAGGTAACTCCTGCAGTTGTAGTTTTTCTCCGCTTCAGTTATAACATATAATTGCATTTTTCTCCTTTTCTGCATCTCTTTCTCCTTCCAGGTCCTTCCACATGTAAAAGAAGCTGGATACAATGTAATTCAGTTGATTGGAGTCATTGAGCATAAAGATTATTTTACTGTTGGTTATAGAGTGAGTTGAAGATTCTTCCTTTTATTTGCACTTGAAAACTACAGAAGCTCATTAGATATGTGTGTATGGTTCTCTTTTGTGCTTTTGATAGCTGAAAGCATTCGTCTTTTTGGTAGTTCTTTGACCTTAATGGTGAGGTGGTAGAATTTGGTCCATTGATTCTAGTGGTCTTTTCTTTTATTCCTCTTCTTCAAAGCTGTGACATCTCCTACTGATCCTCAAGTTGTATTTCTGATTGAAAAGATATAGTGATCTAATTCCATTGAAAACACTTGTTTTTTGCTGGAAAGTTTTCTAGTTGAAAATTATTAATACTTGTGACTGTGACTATGAGATCATCCAAAGTAGGAGATGAGGGGAGCAACCAATCTCTTGCAAGTTTGTTTTGGGTATTTAGAAATGATTCTTTACACTTTTTGGTGCAAGGGGGGAGCAACCAATGGAGGTGGAATAAAATTTAAGACAGTTCTTCTCCCAAACGTCGAGAGGGGAAAGATCATGTACAGAAGAAGTATGAGAGCCACTACTCTATGGGCCATTTGGGATGAGAGGAATGCTTGAATTTTAAATAACAAGAGAATATAGGAGGCTTTGGTTCATCTCATCTGCTCATTATACTTTACTTTCAAAAAAATGTAAAATCAAGAAAATCATATTTTTTCTAGAGATGATATCATCAAAATTTGGCAAAAAGTGCCCTCCTTGCCTTTGAGTGGACTGGCATTTACCACTGGAAGGAACTCTGAAATCAAACTTTGATGGCCACTTTCATGGCAATCAAAGAAATTTAGGAACTACTGATGATGGATCGCCATAATTGAGTCATTTTTATGTACTAGACCCAATTGATATAGGTAACTAAATTAGGTTGAACTTTTCTCGGTACTTTAACACCAAGATTTGCTCATTGGTAAACATTCTAAGTCTAGAAGTGGAGGGTAAAGTAGTAATTGGATGGATGAATGGATCAGGAGAGGTAATTTGGTGGTTCAGACATTTTGTCAAGTTAGGCTTCTAGCTAGAAAACTGATTAACTGGTTCATGTAGATTAGAAGATCAGCAAATTTTCTGGCTGACACCCTTGAAAGGGAAGAGGTAAATAAAAATGACTTGTACATGGGACCTTCCGTTAAGGGGTACTAGTGACTCTCCTTGAGTCTCTGTACTATGTGTTATTACTATTTCTAATAATAAAATTCTTTCTAACTTGTTTATGATAAAAAAAACACTTGTATGTTTTTAGCTTCATTTGTTGTGGAGTAATAGAAAAGTCAATCTGGATGATTCTCTTTCCATACATCAAATATTCCCTTTTTAGCTTCATTTACAAGAAATGCTTTATTGGTTACTTCAATATCCAATGAATACAATGTCCAATGCAGGTCACAAATCTCTTTGCTGTTAGCAGTCGTTTTGGCACTCCCGATGAATTCAAACGTTTGGTTGATGAAGCACATGGTCATCTTCATAGACTTCTCTGATGACATTCATTTTGTAAATCATTACTTAAATTGAAGCACATAGTCATCTTTCAATCTGCAAATTGAATTCTTAATTTATATTCTTGAGTTTTCAGTCAAAAGAGCCAATGCTTACATAATGTAGAATAATTTTTTTAGAAAATGGAAAATAATTTTTTTCTTGTGCTCTGATGAGCAACAAAAGTTTCTATTCTTGAGCTGGCTCTTTTATTGTTCCCTCCTCTTTTTTCCCGTTTTTGACAATTGGCCTAACTATGTTGCACTTAATGTATAATTTCTCTTTACAGGGCTCGGATTGTTAGTCTTCTTAGATATTGCCCACTCTTACTCAGCAGCAGATGAAATGGTTGGTTTGTCCCTTTTTGATGGATCAAATGACTGCTACTTTCATACTGGTAAGTGGCAACACATTAATTCAAATTTCATCTTGACTGTTTACTGGATTCCCTAGCAATTATTTCATTGTTTTCCTTTTTCCAATCATTGCATCCAGGTGAAGTTGCTTTTCCTAAAACTAACAACCTTCTTTTTCCTATTAATGTATCTAGTGTAACAATCCAATACTCAAATCAGTATTTCTCTCTTACTGTTCTAATATGCAAAATTGTTCCAAGTGATGTGGATATATAAACTTAACTCCTTGGCAATCTACTTGTATAAGTAGAACTTGTTTCTTTAGTTTCACTTCCCTTTTACCTGTCAGAAGTTTGCTCTTTTGTTTTTGTATGCAATAGAACCTTCCTTCCATATCTATTTGTTTAATGGACTTTTGTCTTGTATACATGGAAACCTGATGAGAAAACTTCTAAAACCTGGTTCAAGAAATATAGATTTTCCATTTTATTGAGATACCTATAGGTGAATAGTTTGAAACCCTTCTTTTGATTATGTCTTGAGTTATTTGCTAAGATGTATAAATCTCCTAAGGCATTTTTACATGAATATAACAAAATATTATGAGTTACTTCTTGCAAGAATATGTATGATGAAGAACCATATGCCAATAGTTTTCTTACCTTGGAGATGCTTCTCTTGTCTGTACCAATCAAGTGCCTTGCCTATTTGCTTCCGTTGTTGCAACCCTTGTAGATTTCTCAGCGATGTTAATGGAAGAGTAAATGCCAATAGAAGAGACTCATAAGCTGTATGGTTATCATTTGTTCTTTTGCTAAAACCTTCACAAGTGATGTGTAAACTTTTCTCTTGAATAGGTAAACGAGGGCATCACAAATATTGGGGTACCAGAATGTTTAAGTATGGTGATCTTGATGTGCTCCACTATCTTCTGTCAAATCTGAAGTGGTACTTATGAACCATCAATATATCATTTTTTTTACTCTTTCATTTGTGCAAAATCAGTCTATTTGTTTTTTTTTCCTCTCTATGACATGAATATATGTTTACTATTTCATCATTGTCACTAGCCTCATCCCAGAAAATGGGGCCAGCAATACTTATAATTTTTAATTAATACAAGTATATAATAATTAAGAAACAGTAGGTCATCTATGAAGGAAGGGCAAGTACAACTCTCAGTTTCATTATTGACAGAGAATAGTGAAAAAATAATGGGATGCCAAATGGAATGATTGAAGGAGAAGATGCAGTAGAATTACCTTGGAAGATCAAGTCCCCAAAGAGGAAAAGAAGTAATGAGTAATCATATTCAACATAACATTGACTAGGGAGTCTATCATCTCATTAGTAAAGTAATGACTCCAGAAACCAATATATTTTAGGAGTATGCTAACCAAAAAATCTATTTTACCCAAATATGGCAAGAACATAACTTGACATAGTGTTGGACTTGGACAGAGTCTTGTTCTAAAAGTTGAAGTATCTGACATGACACAGTACTTATGTACTGAGGAATGAGACTCTCTTTATGAGTTCTTCTTAAGCTTATGATCCAGTTAATCACCATTATTAAGTATCTTTCAAACACAAGTTCCAACATGTTAAATATCAGATCAAGCTTATGACCTTGTAAGACAGGATTCACTCTGGTGCCTATCAGATCCAAGACCACAAGAATTGGGCCCTAAAATGGTGATCACCAATATTGATGGAATTTGGTTCTTGAACATATGCCCAACAAATCCAATCTGGACTTGCTCTATTGAGATGGTTAACCTTCCTTGTGTTCTGAGTAAAAAGACATGTTCCTGCTATGGACTTTGATGTGGAAATACATGGGTATTGATTAAATTATACATAGTGTTTTACATGTTTTTGAAGGAGCAGTTTATCTTTATTGTTGTTATGGATACAAAATAATAAAATTTTGAGGGCTCATCTAGCGGTTAACATGATATCCCTTTCCTTTGTTTTTTTTCTTACTCTTTCTCTTCTTTTCTAACCTACAAATCCTAAATTTACAACCCTAAATTGGAACTATGTATCAGAGATAAATCACATCAAAGACATCATGCACACAGTTACAATTTTTGGAAATCAGAGATCACCCTACAATTTATGATACAATTCATGATTGTTTTGTTCAACCTTATCTGTAATTTACAAATAGTTACAAGTGTCAGCACATTGCTTCCTTCATTTAAATGTATTTCCCTTCACAATGTTAACTACCTTAATGGATAATGGAGTAACTGTGAATCTCATTAGAGAGACCATTAAATTATTTGACAACCACTTTGGTCCTTTTTTTTATTTTCATTTCTTTTGCATTGTTGTCAATGATGGGGATTTCACTTAGAATTGTTTATAATTTGTCATTTGAACAGGTGGATTGTGGAGTATATGATCGATGGTTTCCAGTTCCATTCACTCTCATCCATGATGTATACACACAATGGTTTTGCTTCTTTTACTGGTGACATGGAGGAGTAAGTAACTGACTTATTTTGTTCATCAATCAACTATTTAATATGGTTTCAACAATTCTCTTATTACAAGAGTTTCATCATCATCAGGTGCTAATGTGTTTATGTTGACAATATTGATAGCTTGTACTTGATATTTGGTTTAACATGACAAGTGACAAATTATCACTGCTTTGGCCTCAGTGACTGGATTATACCACAGGGTGGGAGCATGAAATGGAACCAAATATTTGGAGTGTCAATTTTGGAACTCTTCATATTTTGAGCATGGATGTATACCAAGTTTTTAATCGTGAATTTTATTGATTATGAGATAAAAGAATAAATTACAACAAACATGCCAAGCATATATAGATGAAGTTATTCAGAGAAGAGATCTAAATAGTACCAGTAATCTTACATGAAGTGACATAGTTAGGGTGCCAAAAGGGATGCAAATTTTTTATATCAGCAGAAAGGGATGCACATATTCCTTCTACACACTTTATTTGTAGTGAACTAGTGATACCAAAAGCCTCTTCCATCTGGCTAAACTAAGATCTTTCTTTGAGCATTTCCCAAACTATAAAAAAATTAATCTTTTAATCTCTAATGTCACCATACCAGTGGAAAGCTGTAAATGATAGGGTGCAGGGATTATGTGAACTGGTAAAATGCATTCCAGTGCCAAGTGTTATGTTTCATATCTGATGGAGGAACCATATATGCATCTTTATGTATGCATGTCTATATAGTCGTCCTTGCACAGTAATTATAGTTTTCAAGGTACTGAGGTGAGGCTAGGTGACAGGGGGCACCTTGTTGCCTAGTTGCCTAGGAAATGGATTTTCTTAGATAAAAAGACAAGAATAGCAGCTTAATTCCCTAGATTCCATAGCTCTCAGCAGCCATCTTTCGCTAGTACGTGCCTATAATCTTCAACAAAAAAAAGTATAAATTTCATATTAAAACATAGAAAAATCAATATATTCATGAGAATAAAAAGAAGAAAAGAAAAGAAAATGCAGAAAATATAGGGGCTGACTCCTTTTTTGTCCTATGAAAAGAAGAAAAGAGAGGGTAGACCTGTTGCTGTAACGGATGCCTCAGAAGCTGAAGTTAAGGCCCTTCTTGCCAGTCTCTGATTTGCCAAAACCTTGTAGGCATTCCCTTTGTTGGTTGAGGGGGATCCCAGGAATGTGTCTGGATGGGCCAACAAGTCTGCAGCTGGTCCTTGGAGGATAGATTATTTCCTTCTTGAAATCAGTGAATTTTCTTCCTTCTCTTCTTGGCTGTAGCTACAGATGGATCCCTAGAGAACTGAACCAAAAGGCTGACACTTTAGCTAAATATGGCTTAGAGAGGATCTCTTTGTATAGGGCAGATTGTTTACCTGAGTTCTGATTGGACTCTTTTTGTGTTTTTGCCATTGAGCTCTGTTTACATTTCACATCCTCTGATGCGCATCTTCTTTTTGTTTGAACGAAAAGTTCCATTTCTCAAGAAGAAAAAGAAGAAGAATGTGTTGATTAGACCAAATTTTAAGTTCTTCCTTGTGTATTGGTTCAGGTTTTGAAGTCCCTGAGGATTCAAGAGAGCGTACACCAACACATGCGTTGATTGAATCCCAACAAATTACAAAATTATAAATATAAACTAGTATATAAATTCACAAAATGAATAGTTTAGTTTAATAATATGTATTTTATTATTATAATCTCAAAAGAGAAAGAATATAATAAATTTTCATAGCACTGTGCACAAAATATCTAGGTATTCAAGTGAGGCAACCCTTCATAGGCACCTTGTCTCCTAGGCATCCTAGGTGTCACTTAACAACTATGATAATGAGTAGTAAATGCATGTAAACAGTTCTGTGGGTTTTCTTTTTCGTTTATCCTTTTTCCTTTTCTTTGGAGCATGACAGTTAGTATGTTCGAGAGAAGTTTATTTATTTATTTTCCTTCTTCCTCATGCTTTCTGCTAATTAAGAAACTATCTATTTTATTGTTAATGTTGAATCCAGGTACTGTAATCAATATGTTGACAAAGATGCACTAATATACCTAATCTTGGCAAATGAAATCCTACATGAGCTTCATCCTGGCATAATAACAATTGCAGAAGATGTAAGTAGCTTTAAGTTTATTACTTGCTTAATGGTCTTTTCTTCCTTTCTAATGATATCAACTTTGGGACAAAGATATGAAGGGTTTGCTGAGCCAAAAGGACAAAAGAATAATCTGAAACTTCAGCATACCCAAGAGACAAAAAGTATTTTGCATATACAAATTGGTTTGTTTTAAGACAACAATATATAAACTGCAATTTCAAGATATAAGTGTGTATTTAACATCATGTCTAAACAATAAAAGCAGCAACAATAAATGATAACAAGATTTATATGACATTAAGATTCTCCATATAAAAAGGTTGAAATCTGTACTGCACATGAATATGATATCATGTCTAACATGGTCAAATTTCAAGAAATGGTGTCTCCTTGTGTAGATTAGCTTTATATAAAAAAGTTTATTTGAGCATCAATCCTATATTTTATTTATAGACTGTTTATTTTATTTATAAACAGTCTATAAATAAAATAAATAAACACAAAATGATAACAAGATTTATACAATAGATAAAGATTCTCCATATAAAAATTGTTATAATTCGGCTTGCCTTTGAGTTCTGTTAGTCTGATAGCAACCAAGAAGAAAGAGGAAGAAAGAGGGAAGAAAGAGAGAGAGAAAGGAGGAGAAAAAGAGAGAAGAAAAGTCTGGTTCGAATTAGGGAAAAAGTTCCTCTCCCATTCGGCCAGACATGTTTTTATATTATTAATATAATGGAAAAGACACATGTGCCCTTATTTAAGTGAGGGACACTAGTTTTAATATAATATTACAAATCAGCAACCTCAACATAAGTATAAAGACAGAAATACCCCTACACTAACACTCCCCCTCAAGCTGGTGAGTATATA